GGAGAGAGGGAGAGAAGGAAAGAGGGAGAGAGAGGGGCGCTGGTATTGGGGGACTGGCCGAGCCTGGAGAGCGGATGTGAGCAGGATGGGGGGATCAAAGAGGACCCCGATGGAACGCAGAGGGAACTGAGGGGTGGGTCTCTCTCAAGATCACAGAGCTGGCCGCGCCAGTGGGGGGAACGGGATCCCCCTTTTTGGCCGCCCCCCGGGCGAAGTGCCAAGTCCCCCCCAGGCCCTGTTCGGGACGGGGAAGCCAGAGGAGTTGGGAGGCGGAGGCGGCCGCTAGTGGGGGCCCGGGGGGCGACGGGCGCGGGCAGTAGCGGCGACAGGTTTGGCGGTGGTTGCTCGCCCGAGCATCTTCTTCCCCGAGGCTCCCCTAGAGCCAGGTCCCTCCCACCCGCGTAAGGCCACGCCCATGCTGACCAGGGATACGCCCTTCTGTGCCCTATTGGTCTTTCCCGGAAGTCTAGACAGGCCCCTCGGGTTGACCACGCCCCTTTCTTGCAGCTGCTAGCGGGACCCCGCTCCCCTGGGATACGTACTATAAGGACCCTGGGCGCATCCATGTCCCTTTCCACCATGCCTCACCGTTAGTTTACATTTATTGCGTACTTATTACCTGTCAGGTCCGGTTCTGAGTAAGCGGTTCACATCCATTATCTCATTTATTCTGTGTGGTACTCTTATCCCCATTTTATAGATGAGGAAACTGAACCTCGGAGACCGACTCCTGCAGCTGCGAAGTACCGACTCAAATCTTTTATCCATCCCTTCTAGGATTAATACAGGTTTGCGGTGAAAGCTAGCACACAGCGCTCATGTCAATCAATAGCACTTACCGTCCACAGACGAATTGCCAAGCACTGTCCTAAATTCTGAGGAGCCCTGGTGGCGTAGTAGGTTAAGCTAACAAAGGTCGGCGTTTCCAACACACCAGCCTAGTCGCTCCTCCAGAGAAAGAAGAGACAGTTTGTTTCCGTAAGAGATTTACAGCCTTGGAAACCCTAGGGAGCAATTCTAGTTTGTCCTATAGGATCAAATTCGCCATTGAGTCGGAATCAACTCGATGCCGGTGGGTTTAGGATTGGTCCCAAACTCTGGGATTCAATAGGGAACAAAACAAAACCTCTTGGCATTTGGAGAGTAAATATTACTATCATCGTGATGCTCAGATGACAAAGTGGCAGCCCAGGAACGTGGAGTGTCCAAGGGCACGCAGCTAGACAAAAGGAGAGCTGGGATCTGAACGCAGGACAAGGCCACTTCCAGAGCCTGAGGTCACTGGAAGTAGGTGGCCCTTCCTTGGAATGGATCGTTGCTGACATTTCATGTTCTCTGGTACAAGGATATTCTTCTCCCTGGATTCCTGCTCCTCAAAGAATCTTCCTTTCCTAGGTCAGCTGGAGGCAAGATTAAGCTCCAAGGGAGGCTGAATGGGGGTAATTATAGCAGCTGGGGAGCCCCCTCCCTCTACTCGATTCCACTCTCTGCCCCTTCCTTTCCATACCCAGCTTCCAGGTCCCCAGAATGGGAGGGGGGCTAGCAGATGGCCTGGAGTGGGTGGGGTGGCTGCCCATCTGTCCCCTCCCCCTTCATTGTCCCCAGAGCCAAGGGGGATGGGAGGGGGCTGTGGTCCACTGCAGTCTGGATCCTCCCCCTCCATCTTCCTGGAGGGAGCTGAGGAACTGGTTGCCATGGAGACAGGAAAGAGGCAAGAGGGATGCAAGGGGACACTGGGGTCAGGCTGAGAGCCACACCTTAGACCCTCTGAGTCACATACACTGTAGCACCTAAGTACATACCCTGTTATCTATGGAGTTGGTATGAAGTCCCCCCCCCGCAACATATATAGTCACCAAGGCCTTCCTGCAGACACGCCCGTATCCAGACTCCCAGGTGCACAAACTCCCACATTTACACCCAGGCACACTCTGATGTACAAAGCTTCACAGACTTATCCATAACACACATCCAGTCATGTGGACCCAAAGCCACACCATGGGCTTTTACACACAAGTGGATGCACACAGACGATCCAGGTCATCCCAGTAAATATTCAGGTATGTCCTAGTGCACATATTCAGAGCCACAGCAAGTCCACACTTAGACACCCACCCAGCCCCTTAGAAGTTAGAGACATGAGTATAACCCCAGGCATTCACTGCCTATGTCACATAAAACAGATTCGTAAGTGACATATGATAGACTCAATCATGCCTGGCACACAGATTGGGTTATCACACACCTTTAGATCCATTGCCACACATAGCCTATATACACAATGCACTGGACCCTCACAGGCCAATCACAGCGACACACATCATGCACAGAGGGCTGTGTGCTGCTCAGCCCCCACTCCAGAATTATGCCTCTGTCCCATCTCCACCCCACCCAAACCCTCCCATTTGGACACACACTTGCACAACAGCCCGGTCGGTCACGCACTCACACTCACACACAAACACAAACCTCCTCCTAGATATTTTTAAACCCAGGCTAGTTCTGCTGCCATGGCAACCACCCCAAACCCATCGTCATAGCAACCCAACGTCAGCTTTCCAAGCACCAAATCCTGGGGGATTGCAGGGCCCCAATCAGAAGTCGGGGTGGAGGGGGCTGTTGCAGGCTCTGCCTTCATCCATGACCCCCCACCAGTGCCTCCATCCCATAACTTTCAGGGGAGGAGCACCCTAGGCTGGAGCCAGGGTCACCAGAGATCCAAAGGAAGCTGGGTCAAAGTAGAACCCCATATCTGCTCTTCCTTTCCACCCATCATTGCTTTATGGAGGGATTCATTAGCACAAAGGTTATACACACAGGCCTGGGTTTGAATCCTGGCTCTGCCATTTCTATGTTGTGTAATGTGGGCATGTCCTTTCCCTCTCTGAGTTCTACTTTTCTTATTTGGGAAATGTTGCTCTGGATGCTGTTGATATGAATACACCGAAGGACTGTGATGACTTAATGAGTAAAAAGCCTGCATTCAGATCAGCATCCAATTCGGACTCCCTCTTCCAGTAGTGTGATTTCTCACAAGGGTCTTGCCTTCTCTGTGTGAAAATTAGGGGGCAAAAAAATAGTTAAAATTCAAAGGGCTGTTGGGAAGATTCCCCACCCAGGGGGTGTGTCTACTGTTCTAAGCACTTGCATATATTCTAATTTATTTAAGTCTTAAAAACAACCTTATAGGTGAGAAAGAAAAAAAAAAAAAAAAAGCAAAAACCCAAGCCCACTGCCTTCAAATTGATTCCAATTCATAGTGACAAGTAAGGAGCTCTGATAGCATAGAGGTTACGAATCAGGCTGCTAACCTCACAGTCAGCAGTTCGAAACCACCAGTGGTTCTGTAGGAGAAAGATGAGGCTTTCTACTCCCATAAAGATTTACAGCCTCGGAAACCCTGTACAGGGTCGCTATGAGCTGGAACCGACTCCACGGAACATAACAACAATGGTGTGGCCTGTGGGTTAATGCGCCAGACTGCAAAGCCATCTGAACTGCAAGGTCGGTGGTTCAAGCTCACCAGCTTCTCCTTGGAAACCCTGTACAGGGTCGCTATGAGTCGGAACCGACTCCACGGTACACAACAACAACAATAAGACAAGTAGACTTCTTAGTTTCCAAGCCTATAAATCATTATGTATATAGACAGCCTCATCTTTCATTCCTATCCTTGTGGTTAGCAGCCCAATGCTTAACCCCCAGTGCCATCAGGGCTCCTTATTATAACTTCTTTAGGTCTTAAAAACAAACCTTATGGGTATTGTTGTTGTTGTTAAGTGCCACTGAGTCAGTTCTGACTCATAGTGACCCTGTATAGGGTTCTCAAGGATCAGCTGGTGGGTTTGAACCACTGAACTTTAATTTATTTTAGTGCTTGTTGAGAATATGCCCAGCAGAACAATAATTTCTACCGGTACAATTTCCAGATGTACAATGAAGTGACGTCGATTGCAGGTTTCACATTGTGCAATTATTCTTACCTCCCTTTTCTCATTGTTCTTCCTTGTTGTTGTCGTTGTCAGGTGCCATCGAGTCGGAAC